TTAGGAAGTGAATTAAAGATACCTTGGATAGTAGGTTCCAGGTCCACCATGCCCGTTGCCTCCGGCAGGCCACGGATCAGAATGTTGTTCCTCCTATTCCTGTCCTCAGCATAATCCATGTGGGTCCATACAGACTTACAGTCTGCAGATTATTGGCACGGTTCAGGTGGGGTTTGTTAGAGGTAGAGAAGCGAGAGATAATACTATCAAGACTTTGCATTTAATAATCGCATGCAAGTAAGTGTAACATCCCGATGTGCCTTCTCTCAGTAGACGCGGAGAAGGTGTTTGATAGGGTGAATTGGCAGTTCCTATACCATTCTCTTAGACAGTTGAATTTGGGCCATCAGCTACTGGCTAGGATTATGGCATTATATTCCGCCCCATCAGCTAGAATTAGGATAAATGGATGCCTTTCTGACCCTTTTAATATCAGTAATGGAACTCATCAAAGTTGCCCTTTGTCCCCAATTCTTTCTGTGATAACGATGGAGCACCTAATTAGTGGCCCTACGAAATAATATCAATGTTAAGGGTTTGCGACATGAGGACATGGAATACAAACTTGCATTATATGCAGATGACTTACTTTTATATGTCACTTCTCCAACTACTAATCTGCCTTCTATATTGCAAGAGTTTAAGGTTTTTGGTACTGTGAGCAATTTTAAGGTGAATCTCGCCAAGTCGGAGATCCTTAATATTTCTTTAACTCATAGAGAACGAGATAGGCTTAAGACATATTTCCCATTTAAATGGAAACCGATTTCTACTAAGTATCTGGGGGTTTATATTACTACAGATCTTATGTCCATGTACTCGCTTAATTAACTCCCATTAGTACGTAAAATAGAGGCCGAACTGCAGGTTTGGTCTCCACGATATATATCCTGAATAGGCAGAGGGAATGCTTTGAAAATGGATGTACTCCTGAGATTTCGCTACCTCTTTCAAACAATATCTATAAAACTGCCCAGGTCTTTTTTTCTTAAATTGCGTTCTCTTTTTGTTAATTTTATTTGGAGATCTTTGAAATCGCGTATTAGTTATCAAACTCTTATCAGGAAAAGAGAGGATGGAGGGTTAGGTTTACCGGATTTTTCTCTTTATTATAGGGCTTCAATGTTAAGTAGGATCCTGGAGTGGTTTAATCTAGACCCATTGAAAAAGTGGGTGGTTATTGAAAGAGTACTGTCTCCTTTAGATCCCAGGGCTGCCTTATGGTCCCTGCCTTCCCTTATACGTGGCTATGGAGAGTGGCCTCCATTGGTTTGGCATGCCATTCATTGTTGGCATAATGTACGTACTATCTATTCTCTCTCCACTCTTCCTAGCCCTTTAACCTCACTTATGGACAATCCTGCTTTTCCGACGGGAGTAGGAGTGTCTACATTGTTAGGGTGGCAAAGATATTTTTGGCCGCAATTGAGACATGTAGTGGGCTTGTGTAAGCCGGTGTGCTGCGCTTGGTTGTGTGTGATCCACCTTTTAATTGGTCTTTAAATTGTGTGGAAATTGTGAAAATATCACAAACTAAATACAGTGCCAGTGATCAAATCCTAATTGTGGCTGTATACTGAAAATACAAGTCGAAAAAGGTAAATGTGTTCGTGAATAAATATTAAATATTGTAGGATATTAAGTTAACAATGCAAGATATGTGTAGCATATGAAAATAAATAAAATATTGTCGTGTGGAAACAAGTTATATTTTGATTACTATTATAGAAGAATTTTTCCCTTTGCGGACTCATCAATAGAACTATAAGTAAAAGACACTTGACACACAATGCTGCTCGGAGGAAAATAGCATCTTGCTGTTCATAATCCCCGTTCATACACCTCTATATACATTATAATTTATTCACCTTTTATATCAGTAGATGTGTTTTTACAAGAATTTCTGTGCATTTTGGCTTGTAGCCTTTGACTGGCCATACAACCAGTTTTTATTCCATTTTTTCATATTCATATTTTATTTTTTTTATTTTTGATTGCCAGATGGAATAATTCACTCGTTTACACAATTTTCAACCAGATTTTATTTATTTATTCACAATATAACTTGTTTCCACACGACAATATTTTATTTATTTTCATATGCTACACATATCTTGCATTGTTAACTTAATATCCTACAATATTTAATATTTATTCACGAACACATTTACCTTTTTCGACTTGTATTTTCAGTATACAGCCGCAATTAGGATTTGATCACTGGCACTGTATTTAGTTTGTGATATTTTCACAATTTCCACACAATTTAAAGACCAATTAAAAGGTGGATCACACACAACCAAGCACAGCACACCGGCTTACACTTGATCACGTTGATAGATATTGCTGCAGCTGGCTAATTTCTGTAAATATATCCTAGCGCAACTACCCTGGTTGCAATGTAGTGGGCTTGACATCTTATACCGATGTCAGATCCGTTGCCCACTAATTCGGGGCCAGAAAAGCATGGCTGGCTTATGCACAATTGACCAGTTATTATGACACTCTGCTTCCTAGGTCCGAACTACATAGGCCGCTTACTCAGTTTGAGGCTTTGTGTGTTGCTAGTTCTCCACCTAGACATTCCTTGTTGATCCTGTACGCTATGTATCTATCTAAGCTCTCATCAGCCCCATTAACACATGTGAAGCAGTGGGAAAGGGAGCTGGGAGTGACTAGACTCTAGACTCAAAAGGTTTTCGAAAGACCAAACTGATCTCTGTTGGAGATGCCAACAGTCTATAGGTACCCTATTACATGTTTGGTGGGAATGTCCCCCGATTAAGACGCTATGGGATAGGGTGTTTACCCTATACAATTCTGCATATTCTACACAGGTGCAGAATACCCCACAACTTGCTCTCCTAACGATTATCCCCGAGCCAGTCTCCTCTGCCAAACGCTCAACGTTACAGTTTTTTCTGTTTGCAGTCCGTATGATTATTCCACGTCATTGGATAAGTTCAAGTACACCCTCTATGATAGAATGGTTGGAAGCTCTAAACCTTATACGAATGGAGGAAAGGGTGGCTATGGATAGAGACACGAAGGAAAAGTTTTGGGCTATGTGGAACGAGTGGATGGCATTTAAAGATTCTCAGGTATTTAGAGATCTATTAGAAACATTCCCAGAAACAACAGGTGGCATAGTTTCCTCGGTAGCTGTGACATCAAGCTAAAGTTTGTAATTCTGTTGTTTTGTTTATATTTGAAATATTAGATGACCAGGTTGGGAGTTGCTTTCTAGTCTTTAGGTTTTTTTTTTCTTCTCATGAGCACTTTTATTTCTATGCCAGTCAAATTTGTTCTAGCCTTAAAGTGAATTTAAACCCTCAGATTTTTTAACATAAACCAATACTGTAATGTGTGCCTTACTGTACTCCATGGTAGTTTCCCTTCTCTTTGCTGCTCTTCCTTTTAAATCCTTATCTCTTCTAATGCTGGGGAGAACTTCCGTTTTGCAGCTGACTGCCTCTTCTCTGGAATGTTACATGGTGTCTGTGTGCGCGCTCCCGACCTGAGCCAGGACTACAGGATGACGTCCTCCCAACTTCCACATCCCCACCCACTTTAGATTGGCAACAGCTGCTGCCTGCATGTGCCGTTTTACTCTTTTATGCTGTGTTCGTTCTCCTAATCAGAGCAAGGTATTTTTTTTTTAAACAAACTTTATTGCTTATGTTTTTTCAATGAATAGGTTGTTTATGAAAAAACATAAGCAATTAAGTTTGAGTTAGGGTTTAGTTACACTTTAATGGATGGACTAGAGATAAATACATAGGTTATCCTGAACTGGGATTTGGCTTAGGTTTAAGGAGAATGAACATTTATTAACCCTTAAACAAAGTCGATATGCAGTGGTTAACTTGATTTAAACTCTGTTACTCATTTGCTTACCAAAATAATGTGTAAATTTTTACTTAAAGGACAAATAAGACATATATGGCACACTGTTTTAATAATTTCCGGTTAACTATTTTAGCATTTGCTAAAAAAATGGACAAAAATGTAAAGCACTATTGAAGTCTTGTTTTTATACTTGTTATGCATTTAGGCAAGTAACGATTATGGTTTTTTTTTGTAATATGTGTGCATGATTAAAACTGTAAGAAGCTGTCTTGTGACGGCAGCACAACATGAGTCAACAGCGTTCCCAGACAAGGCAGTATGGGTTTCCAGCAGTCCAACACACCCCTTGCACAGTGCTCCAATCAACAATGTTGCCTGACTGCATAACAAGTAGAAAAATCATGACTGTAGACCAAAGGCTTATTTTTTGTTGATAAACTTCCAATCTTCTTGTGGTTACTATGTCCTAGTTGAAACTTTTTCATTCGTTCCCAACCCTTAAATAGCATTAACCTCTCAAACTTTTTTTTATAATGCATGTAGATCAAGCAAATATACATTATCCAGCAAAGTATTTTTTTTTTTTGTAATTCTTGGCCAAGCACCTACAGTCGTCATATTTCCATACAGCAGCTCCAACTCTCTAAGCCCGGCTTCTCTTCTCTGAGCTTACAGTCTAGTACTAGATCACAAGGAACAGAGCAGTCTATAGCAGAGTACTATCTACTAGCTGAGAGGAGGGAGTAAGGAAGTGTGGATAGCAGGGAGCAGGGTTGGGGCTTGCCTTGCAATGCCTGTGTTTGTGGAGTCACAAAGCGTACTACCACACACACGGGTGGGGGACCCTGCAAGAGAAATAAAACACTCTAAAACAGTATATCAGAGCCAATGCTCAGGGGACCAGCTGATTCTAGAGTTAACTAAAACTTGTAAACATCAAGAAGCAGCATCCACTGCAAGAGATTTAATCAGCATTTGAAATGGCTTTCTGGCTTAAATATGACTTTAAGTGGATCTTTAAGTGCAGTCAGTGATAGCTGGATCTGACAGCTAGTAGGTGTACATAGTGTTGACTGCTAGCTGTTAAATGGGCAACATAGATTAAGAACACATAAATAGAAAGGTAAAACAAAACAAAAGACAATTATTACCTGTGGGTATGCACCTTCAAATGCCCGATCAGGAGTCATGTGTTTAATGATATCAGCCAGGATGGTGTTCACCTCCCGTTTCTGTATATTAGTAAGACATGCCACCAGTCAAATAATCCCAAAACATTTATACAGCACAAAATAAAGTTAAACATGTCATGAAAAGTTACCCTAATGTTTACAACAGATACTATGGTTCTGCATAGGTCAACAGCAGTATCTAATTAAAAAACTGCACCAGAAGAGTTTTTGTTTCATAAGGGTATCTGATAATTGGGAATTGCTTTATTTCTCCAAGAAATGAAAGAGTGTTGGGGGGAACATCCCCCTAATGGGTCCAACAGCAATAAGTGCATTTAGACCTAGTACATTAGAGTACTGTCACAGTGAGTAAATCTGATTTCTTCAAAGCAGAAAATTATGTACACAGGAGTCTAAACATTTCAGTGTTGCTATTACATTCACTTTGTGAACAGGGCAGCCATCAGAAATTTTGGGGGCCCCTTATACAGCTTTAGGCCTGGGTGCGTCCCCCACCCCCATTGCCGCATGGTCACGGGTCGCCCGCTCACGCACACACACAAATGCCACGTGCATGTGTTTATTTGAATGCAGATGGTAGGGGTAGGGGTTTGGTTTAAATTTTAATCATTTTTTTACTTTATTTTTTTACTTATCACCTTTTTATTTTTTACATTTTGATGTATTTACATTGTTAATTGTTATTTATTTTTTGACTATTTTTTTTCACTTGACTTCACTGATATTACACAGGAGCCTGTGTGATTGCATTTGGAGGTGACAGGTTCTCTTTATTGACCCTGTCACCTCCAACACAGGAGTTCTAGCACAGCACTGTGCTCGTTCTCCTGTGACAGGAGTCTGTGAGTACAGCATTCGTGTGTCACTGCTCACACGGACGTTCTCTACTCTGCTTCCCGCTCTCCATTCTGATCTAGTTTGCCGTGATCCCGGGTCCTCCAGAAGAGCGGGGGACCCCAAAGAGCACGGCAGAAAGGGATCCAGTGGGCAGGGAGCGATATTAGAGGGAGCGGCTGGGGACACGGCCACCGGAGAGAGAGAGGGGAGGGGGAGAATCAGGCTGGTTACAAGTGATTTTGGATGGCTGTACTGCCGCTCAAGATCACCTGTACAAAATGGCTCCCACTTTACAATTAGCCTTGCTGCCTGCCCAAAGGCGGGTTAAGGGCCGATTCACAACACAAAGGCTGTGTACCAGGGTGTTCAACCTCTGGAACGCAAGCTGGCTGGCTCCCCGCATTCAGGGGTGGGAGGGGGGATGGTAGTGCATTGAATCGCACTGCAGCCACGCCCCTTGCCCGCAGTACAATTGCCCGCACCCGGAACGCATGCACATTCGTGCTTGCGTTTCAGCAGTATCTAATTAAAAAACTGCACCAGAAGAGTTTTTGTTTCATAAGGGTATCTGATAATTGGGAATTGCTTTATTTCTCCAAGAAATGAAAGAGTGTTGGGGGGAACATCCCCCTAATGGGTCCAACAGCAATAAGTGCATTTAGACCTAGTACATTAGAGTACTGTCACAGTGAGTAAATCTGATTTCTTCAAAGCAGAAAATTATGTACACAGGAGTCTAAACATTTCAGTGTTGCTATTACATTCACTTTGTGAACAGGGCAGCCATCAGAAATTTTGGGGGCCCCTTATACAGCTTTAGGCCTGGGTGCGTCCCCCACCCCCATTGCCGCATGGTCACGGGTCGCCCGCTCACGCACACACACAAATGCCACGTGCATGTGTTTATTTGAATGCAGATGGTAGGGGTAGGGGTTTGGTTTAAATTTTAATCATTTTTTTACTTTATTTTTTTACTTATCACCTTTTTATTTTTTACATTTTGATGTATTTACATTGTTAATTGTTATTTATTTTTTGACTATTTTTTTTCACTTGACTTCACTGATATTACACAGGAGCCTGTGTGATTGCATTTGGAGGTGACAGGTTCTCTTTATTGACCCTGTCACCTCCAACACAGGAGTTCTAGCACAGCACTGTGCTCGTTCTCCTGTGACAGGAGTCTGTGAGTACAGCATTCGTGTGTCACTGCTCACACGGACGTTCTCTACTCTGCTTCCCGCTCTCCATTCTGATCTAGTTTGCCGTGATCCCGGGTCCTCCAGAAGAGCGGGGGACCCCAAAGAGCACGGCAGAAAGGGATCCAGTGGGCAGGGAGCGATATTAGAGGGAGCGGCTGGGGACACGGCCACCGGAGAGAGAGAGGGGAGGGGGAGAATCAGGCTGGTTACAAGTGATTTTGGATGGCTGTACTGCCGCTCAAGATCACCTGTACAAAATGGCTCCCACTTTACAATTAGCCTTGCTGCCTGCCCAAAGGCGGGTTAAGGGCCGATTCACAACACAAAGGCTGTGTACCAGGGTGTTCAACCTCTGGAACGCAAGCTGGCTGGCTCCCTGCATTCAGGGGTGGGAGGGGGCATGGTAGTGCATTGAATCGCACTGCAGCCACGCCCCTTGCCCGCAGTACAATTGCCCGCACCCGGAACGCATGCACATTCGTGCTTGCGTTACGGTCCATTGAGATCAGCAAAAATCGCGCTTGGAGTATTAGGTGCGGGCGTGACTGCGGTGCCATTGATTTCAATGCACTGCCACCCCCCTCCCACCCCTGAATGCAGGGAGCCAGCCAGCTTGCATTCCAGTGCGTTTCAGAGGCCGAACACTCTGGAACGCAGCCTTTGTGGTGTGAACTGGCCCTCAATGTAGAAGAAAAAAAACTACTCTCCCGGCGCCCAGGACTGCCTGTCCCGAGCGATAGAAATTCCACACCCCTGCATTACATTGTAATATTCCCTATTATAATCCATTTTTCTAATTTCACCCCACAGGTTCTGGGCCTCTCACTCTCCCCCCTCCCCCTCTTCTCAGTGCTTTCTCCTTATGTTCTTAAGCTGCCCATACACCTGGCGATTATTGCACGATAGTCGCGGGTGATCCTGTGATCGTACGATAATCGTAAGGTGTATGGGCAGCGTGCGGCCGCATATACTGTACAGTCGCACAATTTTCGTATAACGAGCACGCTAGATAACCCGCCGAAAATCGTATGATTCTCAGCGGGTTGGTAGTGCGGTCGCAAGACGAAAGCCGCACGACCCGAGGTACGCAAGCGCACACTGCCCGCTCACCATTGCAATCATCTGCCAGCCCTCCCCTCAGCTGGGAGGACTTGCGATGATCGCAAGTACGATCTGCCTGTCCATGATGGGCAGGTCGAACAATATGTAATCACCTTACAACCATCGCACAATGAAAGTCATATGATGGTTGTATGGTGTATGGGCAGCTTTACACAGAGCCCAGTGTTTGCACCTGCACTTTATTATCACTATAGAAGGTTGTGTTCTCTTTAATGTGGTACGGAGGTCACTTTGTATTCAGCTCCTTCTTATACTCCTATGTCCTCAATGTGCATTCTTTATTAAAGTGTGCATATTGTACCTGACAACCAGTTTTCTGCTGTTCTGAAGTTTAGGTCATGAATACTCACATAGCATTCCTATAAGGCCTCATTCGCCTGTGTAGGCAAAAATCCTTGCACCGGCCCTGCGCATGCCCACCTGACAGACCCTCCCCCCCTTCCTCAATCACATGTTTTTTTCTGTATAGTGCTGGTGTACATATGACACCCCCCATCCTCATCCTTCTCCATTATATTGAGGCACTGTGCTGAAGGTCTTGAGACACACACACTAGCTCTCTCCTCACCCCCCTCCCCCAGCTCGGGAGCAGGAGGCAGATCAAAGACACATGACAAGCGATCCTGTATGCAGGACACACAGCAGTCAGGAGGGCTTACTATGAGGAGATCTGGAGATGGGACATTGCAGAGCTGACAGCCAGGAACACAGCACAACCTCATCAGCTTGAAAGTCAGCACTCAGAGAAGAGGGGGCAGGGCCTGACAATTACACAGGACGGAGCTCCTTCCCTCTGATCTATCAGGAAGTTTGTATGCTGGGTCTGTGCTCTGATTTTTCCACCCTGCTCACCTCACCTCAGGCTACTTGTGTTGCCTTTATACTAACGCTGGCCCTGGGCATGCAGCTAGCTCCATCATTTATGTCCGTTGCACACTCCTCCCCTCCCCCTTTCTCTCAGTGTCCGTCGGTCTCTCTCACACCTCCCCCTCCCCCTTCTCTGAGGGGAGGGGGGAAAGAGTGAGACACAGAACGACCATGCTAAGAGGAGGGAGGGAAGCATGAGAGAGACCCACCGACCGATGCTAAGAAGCTCTCAGCGTTGATCGATCTGTCTCTATCACCCCCCAGTCTCTATCACAACCCCTGGGTCCTCTGTCTGCTGGGAAACGCTTAATTTTCACCTCCAGGCAGGCGGCAGCACACATGCTCCTCTTCAACCTCTTCTGTCACGATCTCCGGCGCTTCTGCCCAGGGAAAGTTAGCTCCGCCCCCCTGTAAGCACTTCGTAGGAAGACACCAACAGCGCAGGGGGGGGCCCAGGACCAGGCAAATGGTACTATTCTTATAATTCTATAGTGAAAATGTATAGCTTGGAGCCCCCCCCCCCCGCCAACGGAGCCTCTTACAATGGTACTGGCCGTACTGCCCTGACGGCGGCCCTGCCTGCCTTATTAAAAGGTACAGTCTCCACCTTGCTAGATGCAGAGCAAAAAAAGTGTCCCTGGAAATGTCTTTAAAATGTTGTCAACTATGCAGGTAACATTCATAATAGTGGCTTTTTAGCCACTATGGGTGTATTTAGGGACAGCCAAATAGCCTACAAACTATATTCCAGATTGTAAAAGTAACTCCTCTAAACAAATTTAAGGAATTCACCACATACGTTCATAAACATATGGCCTAAACACCCTCTGATAGCGGAGAGCTTAACTTCATTAAATTTATAAAAACATAACGGATTAGTTGCTTAGTGGTGGTGTTTTTTGTATACGTCTCTTCACTTGCTGCCTCTCCTTCAACAGAAGACAGTTATATGTCATTAACCATTTTAGGTTGGATAGGGTCTGAGAACAGCTGCGTATAATGTCCTACAAC